AAGATCATTATGTGTTTAAAACATCACATATTTTGGCCTTTTTAATGAAAATGTACATTCTGTTCAAGTCAAATACAGAAACTTTCTGATATTCATCACTCAAAAATGTATTTTAAATTCAGTTTATGTATTTAAAAAAATATATTGTAAAATGTTGTGGAAACAAGTTTCCTGCAATAAGTTTGGATCAAATGGATGAAAATGCATGAATGAATTAATTAATTAAAAACCACAAGTCAATGATTGTTTGTTTTTAATAGCACATTCCTCAATGAGACTGGAAAAGCCTCACCTGTAAAAACGTGTTGAGTTGGTTTTTGGATTTGTCAAGGAATTTTTGGTCGATTGATTTGAATGGCAGTTTACTGAGTGAGGGAAGCTGGACTTTCTTGAGTGACGGAAAACACTGCAAAAGAAAAACGGAAAGAAAGATGAACTGTGGGTAAGAAGCATCAGTCCGTGATTTTATGTTCTGTCATGCATAATCTGTATCAGAACTGATAATGTACAACAATTAGTTCATTGCCAAAGCAGCTTGACAATGGCCGCAGCAGAGGGCCGTCACAGATCAGTGCTATTTGAAACACTACGCCAGCACATGATATCACACATCAGAGGTGTGGCAGCATACTGTAAATATCAGCTGTACCTCCGTCAACTTCCTGTGCAAAGTCTGAAACTCGCTGAGCTTCCTGGTGACGGTCCAGCGGTTGTTCTTGCAGTCGTCGTCTTCAGAAAGACTCACTGCTACAAAGTAACACGCCATCTGCTCGCCATTCTCCTCAGAGGCCTACGAGATACACATACTGTGATTTTAGCATAGTTATTTTTACTCACTCTGATTCACGTTGTGCAGTGAATAAAATAAAATAAAAATGGAATTGAAATGACATAAAATGAAATTAAAATAGAATTGAAATACAAATTAAATGAAATCAATTGAAATGAAAATATAATTGGAATAAAAATAAAACATAATTAAATAGAATTGAATTGACATGAAAATAAAATGGAATTGAACTCAACTGAAATTAAAATAGAATTGAAATTTAAAAAAATAAAACAGAATTGAAATGGATTAGAATAGAATCGAAACAAGATGCAAAAATAATCAAAATTAAATTAAATTTGAATTTAAATCAAATAAAAACAAAACAGAATTGAAATAAAATCAGAATTGAAATAAAATAAAATAGAAATAAAATAAAACAAATCTGAGTCATGTTTTTAACATTTTAACATTTACATTTGCTCATTCAACAGTTATTTGAGCAAAATCTTTGTGGTAAAAGATTTAATTTGGCTTGAATTAAATCATTTTGCATGTAATGCATCTGATTCTGCCCAGAACTGAGATGACAGGAAAACAATAACAGCTTCACTTCAGTTGAAATCACATGAAGCAACTGATTTAAAAAGCTGTGTGTCATTTTGCAGCCAATTAACTGATAAATCGCTAATATACGAATGACTCACTCCTGTGCAGAAATATGCAAATGTGTGCTGTTCCTCATCAGAGCTCCAGGAAAAGAGAGGAAAAATTATTGATGGGGCTCTTGTTTACTTATACAGAACGATGGTGTTTGATTAAAAAACCCTGAAAAAAAAACAAAAAAAAAACAGATGTGCTTCTTTTTAAAGGCCAGAGGAGTTTTAAGCATGCAGGTGATCAGAATAAAATGAATACAGTAGCTCTATTCTACATGTTAAATATATAAAAACACAGATGAACAGATTAGAGTAAGTTTTCTTTATTTTTCACCCAAGATGATGTTGAATGATGAAAAGAGTTTTCAAATTTAATTTGTGGTTGCATTCGATTTTAATACGGCATTTCAAAACATGCTGCATCAGTTTTGATTTCAGTTACTCTATGTCAGTCTGCATTCATTTTTGACATGCTATACAGATCTATCGCATGGCTTCAAAATTCCTCTAAGAGCACTGACACCTTTATTACTGTGACTATATTAAGATGGTGGCTCTCTGTGAAGTTAAACAGATGGAATGACGGATGATTAAGGAGGACAGCAGGACTGCGTATGATCTAATGACTGTGTTTGTAAAAGAGTCAAACACACAGGAAATTAATCACTGTTACTTTAAGGAAAGAATGTTGTGAGAGCCGAATAAAACACCACAGACAATCATGCAAGTGATTACAATATGCTGCTGTGGCGATCACAGAACTCAATGTAACAACTGATTGTAAGATTGTATATTTCAACTGATTGAAGTCAGAATGTGTGAAAACACTGTTGATATGTCACTGCTGCACTCTGTGGTTTAAGAATTAGTTTGATTTTTTAAAGTGAAAGTACTCTGTGTTACTGATGTAATTCCTGTGATTGCAGTGGACAGCATGTAAACAGCACTTTACCAAAAGTTACATCATGTCCCTTTCTGGAATGCTTGTATGCATCACCAGGTTTTCCAGGATTACCAGCTTATTTTGGTCATGACAGTGAAAGATTAGATATAACTTTACATAGACAAGTTTAGAAAGTGTTTCTGTCACACTAGTCTCATGCTAACACTTGTAAAATATTTTCAAGAGTTTACTCCATTTATTATATTTCCTTTTATATTATATTTTATTGTATATTTTCTTTTAATTTTTGTATTTAATTTTATTCTTTTTTTACTGATGGACAAGATTAATTTTCTTTTTTTTTTTCCTTTTCAAAAATATTTGTATTGTGTTAACCGCAGAGTTTTTATCATTAACTAAACTAAAATTATAAAATAATAAATATAAATAAAATGATAAAATCATACATTTTTATTACTTGAAATAAAATAAATGTTAACTAAAATAAAATAAAATAAAAATAAAAAGCTAACTTATTTCAGTTAACATTTATTTAATTGATTTATAACTGAAATAAAATAAAATAAAATAAAAATAAATATGAACAAAAATAGCATAACTGGAATAAAATAAAATATTTTTAAAAATAAAATTACTTTAGTTTATTGTTGAGGTACTAAAACAAAAAAATGAAATAAAAATTAATAAAAACTAAGACTAATGAATGAAAAAGACTACTGAAAACAATAAACAAAAAAATTTACAAAACAAAATTACAGAATCTTTAACAAAATTTTAAATAAAAATGGAAAATATAAAAACACAAATCCAAAAAATACTTATAATAGTATTTTAATTATACTAAAATAACAATTAACTGCCATTATGTCACAGATATTGTAGCTTGAGCTAATCCTGTATTTAGCCCGGCAACCCTCTACATTGCGAGTAAATCACTCGCATATGCGACTAAATCTTCACTCTGGGCGACTAAATGATGTCTAATATTAGCCAATGGCTAATAAATTCTTAAGATTTTACTCGCCAGTGTGTGAGTTGGAGGCTATGTATAAAGTTTAGCACAGATATATTTTCACTCGCCAAACACTCGGAGCGCTTCAGAGTTTCATTCTTTGTCAAGCGATCTGTGATATTTTTCATTTCATCTCAATGGATGCACAGCGCACCTGTGTTTGTGTATTTGGCGTAACGTAAACTCTAGTGTGAAAGCGCACGACTCGCCGTCGCTTTCTCTCACACGCGCAAAGTTAGAGAGAGAGAGAGAGAGAGAGAGAGAGCGAGTGAGAGAGTCTTACATAACATGCAGAATTGATGTGATGCATGTAAATAAACGATATTCTTTGTTGTATTTTCCTGTAAAAATAACAGAGTTCCTTTGGAATTCTTCAGCTTTCAAGAACTACCGCTTTCTCCGGTAGTGGGCGGAACTAATGCGCAAACGGCAATCTCATTGGCTCATTATCGTCCATGTTTTGATTTCAGCGAATCAGTTCGAGCAAACGCACACAACCTGATTAATATTCATGAAGCCAGTAGCTCATTAATCCCTAGTGCGTTTTTATATTGTTCTTATTAGTAGAATTCGTATAATAATAATAATATCTTATCAGTATTATTGTTCGTTTTTTTTTTACAGGAACACTGAATGACCAAAAAAAAAGCACCAGCACCAGTCCTAAGTTCATGGTTACCAAGTTTTAATTCTAATTACTAAACTTCTATTATTAAATAATACTTGATTATCATATTATAATGCTTGACTGACGGATGTTAAGAGTGTACTTTCAGATATTTAAAAAGCTGTACCATTTTACAAACATTATATATGTTTGTAAAATGGCATAACTTATATATATATAGTATAGTATAGTATAGTATAGTAT